CGCCAGTGCGTCCTGCTACAGCTGCCCTTTTCCATTTTTATTGTCCAATGGCTGTGGATTCACCTCCTCCTCCTCCTCCTCCTCCTCCTCCTCCTCCTCCTCCATTCAGTCTAATTTTTAAAGAAAGATTCTTAGACTCTTTCCTAGAATAATAATAAAAAAACCCCAAAGTGATAGTCTAGCAGTGTAGCCAGAAGTGTGGCCATCTGCCTAGGTAAAGGACTAAAGTAAGGAGTTTAATAGGAAGCATCTTGAGTGGTGCAAGTGTGTGCTATAGACCGTAACAGATGATAGCTTTCTGATAAGACAGTGTGAGAGGAGAGTTATGATAGTCTACGGTGGCCATAAAAAAAAGAAAAAAGGAAAAAGGAAAAAGGAAAAAGAAAAGAAAAGAAAAGAAAAGAAAAGAAAAAGAAATTTGTAGCACCTTTTCCAACTAACAAATTTTAATAATAAGCATACGGTTCAGCGTATGCTTTTTATTAAAAATTGTTAGTGGGAAGAGGTGTTGCCAGCCTCATTTTGATTCTTGAGCTGCAGTTCACAAAGCTTCTGCCTTTTAATAAAATGTGTTAGCCAGAAAAGATGCTATTAGACTGCTTTTGACGTTCTGATAAGATTATGCTTTAGCCCAGATTATGCCTCTACTATTCTGTGAATGCGCAAGCAAACATTTCGTGAGTTCTCAATATTCCAAATGGGTTTGCCCAACTCCAAAAGGCAGAAGACCTCAGGACTATGACCTATCATCTCTCATCTACAAAAACAAAATATGTAATGAGGATGCTGGGTAGGTAATAATCTCACTTTTCAAACATTGAGATAGTACAGCCCTCATTGGACAGGTGGCTTGGGGGGAGGGGGGGGCGGTTACCATGCATTCTTCTGTCATGCAGTTGCTGATTGCACACTTATGAGGAAGGAGATACTGATGTGGGATGTACGTGCTCAGCCCTAGTCACCTCCCAATTGGACTACTGTAATGCGCTCTACATGGGGCTGCCCTTGAAGAGTATCCGGAAGCTTCACCTGGTGCAAAATGCAGCGGCATAGGCAGTTATGTGTGCTCTGAGAGAAGCACAGGTTACACCTCTGCTCTGTGAGCTGCACTGGTAGCCAGTTTGTTTCCAGGTCCAATTCAAGGTGCTGATGTTGACCTTTAAAGCCCTTCGTGGCATGAAGCTGAGCTATCTGAGGGACCGCCTCTCCCCAATTGGATCTGCCAACCCCATCAGATCTGGCAAAAGAGATATGCTACGGGTCCCACCTGCTAAGGGGCTACACTTGGCGGAACCCAGGAGATGGACCTTTTCTGCCATGGCACCTGCCTTATGGAACATCCTCCCCCCCCCAATGTGAGGCTGGCTCTATGATTTTCCAGAAGTCTCTGAAAACCTGGTTATGGCATCAGGCTGGTGGCCCCAGGGGACTGGCAAGATACTGAGGTGGCTCCATTGTTGTTGACAGCTGCTGCCCCCTCTTAGCCTTTAATTGTAATTTTTTTTCTGGATAATAATTGTTTTTTATATATTATTGTATAATTGTACACCACCCAGAGTCAGTTTTTCATGAGATGGGCGGCCATATAAATTTGATGAATGAATGAATGAATAAAATAAGTCAAACTTACGGGCAGGCACTAAGGCCTCTGCAATGGAAGAGATGTCTTGGCACTTACCGAGGCTATGTGACCAAAACAGCCACCTTATGGAGAACATATGCCAGGACTTTCAAAATGTGCTGAAAAAAGGTTCTTACGTAGGGAAGACAGCCAAAAAGAAAGACTGTTCCAGCAAAAGCTCTGTAGTGTTTCATTTGCCAAGATCAAAGTCACTCAAAAACTACCGTTGAAGCTTTAGATCAGGAAAAACAAACAAAAACCTTGAATATCTGTGCTTGGGGGCTTGTCTTTGTCTACAAAGAGACTGCCATTAGAAACACCATAAAAAAGGGGGAAAGAATCTAAAAGAAATGTTACGTATTTTGGTTTCATGGCGATGGGCTATACAAACGCAGACCCCCTACAGTGGTTTGATGTAGTAGTTGGGCTATAAATCAGGACTATAGGAAGCAGCCCATTAAAGTTCTGGTGTTGGTTTGGGAATTAATGACTTGTAAAAAAATATGGAAAAATCAAGGCATAGTTGGGATCCTGCTCATTTGAACTCTGATGAGATATTGGGAGGATCAAAAAGAGAAAAAAGCATGTAAGTGTATTTAGGGATAACTTAAGAAACTACTGCATCCAACAGATTTATTTTTGTTTAATTATACAATACATATTCCCTCATTATACTCACTGGATGGTCTGCCACTAAAAGCTTCCCCCCCTCCTCAAAAGGATTTTATACTATTAAAGCAGAGCTTGTTGTAAAGAGAAGCACATTTCCTTGATGAACTGAATAATTTACCACGCGTGATTGTCTGCTGCCTTCTGCTTTCAAACTTGCTGAATTACTGACTTACTGTCACTTTTGAAAGCAATCATTTATTCAGACATCTTGATTTTGTTTACCCTTAGGCAAAAGGGAAAAAAAAACTTGGAAAGAAAGATTTATAGCAAGTTCTAAATACTTAGGAGAGATGACAAAGTTATGGATCAGGAATTACTGATGTGTTAGAATAACGTTTTCTATGGTTTCCAATCCTCCTGCTGTATGGGAGATACCTTTTTCCAACCACTTAGAAGGGAGAAACATCAGAATATCTAGATACTGGAGGAAAGTATAATGGACAGGTTAAATGGGGTTCTTACATTTTGATGTAAAAGTAGGTAGGTACCGAAGAAATGCAGCCAATTTCATTGTGATTCCCTGAAGAACATTACTTTCATTGCATGGATATGTGGACTCCAGGGCACTTATGAGGACATCAAAGGAATGCTGATCTGTCTGAAGAAAGCTAGTATACATATAATAGTTCTCTTCAGACATTATGTGAAGAGGATCTAATTACAGTCAGAAGACTGGTGTCTCTGGTGTCATCCTCCACATCTGGAGAGTGATTATGCACAGTAGAAAAATTATGTGTTTCCACTATCCATTAGGCTCTTTGCCTGATGGATGGCAGATTAGATGGAGAACCATCAAGGGTAAAGGTGACTAAAATATTCATTCTCTATCATGGGAAGTAGAAAGGAGTGTGGCTACATGTTCATCCCCCCACACACTAACCATGGACAGACAGCACGATAACTGAAAAGGATTTATGGCCCTGCTTACATTGTAAAAGGAGAACAACGTTGCCCCACAACAACATTTAGAAAACATTTGACCGTAAACATCAGTTGCTCAGAAAGACAATTAACTCCCCAAAATAATTATGCAGGATGAACATAAAATGGTAAGGTCTCCTTCAAGCTGAGCTCAGCTTGTCCAATTTGCCATACTGGTTTCCTATGACAGTTAAACACTCCAAATGGCTAGTCATGCCATTTCAATATTTCTGTCCTGCAATCTCTGCTACCCAAGTGGCACGCAGCCTAAGAAAACAGCCACCTGATTTCCAATCATGGGAGCCATTAAAAAAAAAAACAATTGCAATTACATGAAAAACATTTTAAAAGAGAGGGAAAAAGACCCCCAACGCCAAATATGTTTAGCCAGAATGAAATACAGTTACACATTTAAATATCAAGTGTAATTTGTAACAGAGGCAAATTCCTCTGGATTTCAGTGTGGATGTGCTCTTCCCCCAGCTGAAGTATTGACACTACCATAGGAGGTTTAAGGACATAAAAGAAGAAGAGAAAGGAAGAGAAGAGCAATGGACATTATTGAGTAAATGTGGTGAATGGGCAGACCAGCTTTTTGGTTCATACAATGTACTTAACCCCACAATGGTTGGGCTTCCCACAAAATGCTGAATCACAAACTACGCAATCCCAGTTTAGCTAAGTCCAGCCTATTTCATGAACCAGGTTAGGATCTGCAGAATAAGGAATTCCACAATGCTCTGTTTAGGTATGTGAGGCCATGAGAGTACGTTGGAGAAGACTGGGAGTTGTGGTTTGAATTCAGCTGGATGTCAGTAAAGGTATCCTGTCACAAAGTGCTCCAATCTAAGTTTGTTCTGCATCAGAGACTGGGGCTGGGGGAGGACAAGGGAGGACATGTTTATGTTGAACAAATGAGCCATACAGAGAATGCCAAGGTTAAATAAGTTTATTGAGTTAGCGGTTATGATGGTATATTGGATATCTTGCTGTAATCCAAAGCTACACCTACATATTTGTTTCTAAATTCTGACATATGTCAGTTCCCATGTTTCTACACATTCCACCACCGGCTCTATTTCTAATAATATTAATAATTATCATAATTATAATAATACAAAAGGCAATGTCAACCACCATGTTGTGCTTCATACTCCACCAGAAGAAACTCAGTTTGAAAAATAAAACAAGTTGGAAAGAGACAGAGAGAGAGGGATAGAGAGGGCAATAGTTCATGTTAGATGAGAATCATCGTCATAACACTACTAGAAACGAAAGAAAAAAAGGTGAGTTAAAGGAAGAATTCATTTTGGTTTTTTAATCACCATCTCAGTTAAAAATTCACATACCATAATGAAGATGACTCAAAGTTAAATCGCCTCATTATTCAGGCCACACATTCAAGCACATTGGCTAGTTACGTAAATGCACTGTAACAAAAGCGATGCAAGCTGTTAGAGATTCCCATTGCACTTTCCAGGTTCCCTGTCTGCAAATATTCCTGGCAACCTATTGTTCCGTGTGTGGATTAACACTTCCCTTTCCATCCTTTGCAGCTGACGATCTCTCCTTCCCTCTCCTGATCTTACAATGCATTTTTTTTAAAGGCCTTTTTAAAAAAATAAATAAAATAAAATAAAACCTTTTTTTTTTTGCTACTTTAGGAAAGAGGTCAGTGAGATGGGCCTCTAGTCAACGTAAGAAACACCATGTGTCTTTTGGGAAGGAAAACTGTACGATGGCTTAATAGAGTCTCAGTTGCATGCAAATTGACACTGCTTTATTATCCTGGTTCTCCCCACCACCACCCCATGCCAGACACATACAAGTCGGCAGGTATGCATACAAAAACATGGAAGGAAATATAAAACCCCTTGTGGTGAAGCTCAGTGAATTAGAAGGAATCCATCGCTTTAAATTCACTTAGAGCCTGTACCGGAGAAATGTGTTTCTTCTGAGAACCTCTTCGCACTCTTGTCTGATACTCCTCCGGCTTTTCTCTCTTGACTAACGGTTTCTTTTCTGGGGCCTTCATCTTCCAAGATACCACAGGTGAGTTGACAGCAGCGGTGCCATAGACTTTTTGATATTTGGTTGAAGCCACGTATGAAGCTTTCACAGTAAGAACCACGGCGTTCATCAGGTTTTTAGCTGCTTGAATGAGGGATGTAGCGCTGTCCAGCTAGAGGGAGCAGAAATCATAAGAGGGTTAGGATAGGGCAGAATGTGGAAGCCTGCACTGATTATGGAGATGGTCTAGTGATGGTCAAATTGCTCTGGGTTAAACAGCAGGTTCCCCCCCCCCCAACCTTTCAATATACAGTAGGATAATGGCATTAATATGTATTTGGGATCTGTACTAAAGAGTGGTAACCCTTCCAGATCAATTTAAACGGAAGAAAAGTTGGTACCCACACTGGAAGCACATGGCAAACTTTTCATTTCAGGACACAGATTTTTTTCCCCCAAAATTTCCTTAAAAAACCCCAGCAGCAACAACAAAAAAGAATGTGAGCTTCAGTAACAGGAGAACAGAGATAATTTTGCCATAAACTACAACACTGCCCCCAAAAGAGCCCAGTAATTCTGTCCAGCAAATAGAATAATTGCATCTATACTGTGAAGATCATGGCTGTTACCTTTACATACATGCCAGCCTGAGACATTTGGCTGGATCATGTGATCCCTACATCTCTTAGGGGGATCCAAGATGCTACGTTACTGCCCTGCTTAATAATGTTGCTATAGATAGCGACACCTATATAGCTGAGTGATCTCTGGATGGCTTGAGGATAATCAGAAGAAAAAGCAGGAAGGGAAGGGTCAACACCGACTTGAAAGCACACACACATACAATTCTTTATATTCCTCTTGTAATTGAATATGAGTTTCTGCACTTCAGAGGCTGTTTCAGTTGGAGAGATTGGGAGATCCAAAAATAAAAAAAAAAGACACAAAAATATTTTTTTTTAAATCAATTCCCTGTGGGTCATATATGAAAACAGTGTACTACTAAGCCAGTGACAACAAACCAATTCAAGGGAAAAACTTGTAGATCCATCCATCCCACTGGGTTGATTTAAGCATCGTTTTGGGATCAACAGAACAAGCAAACCTAATAAAGACCTTCAGCTTTTTCCAAAAGTTCCATAGGAAGTTTTGCAAATATTTTGAAATTTCTGCTGACTTAAGTGATACATCACTAAAAGGGATTAGATCATATTACCCCATTAATGAATCAGTTCTGGTGGTTGAAACATCTTCAGATGGTGGCCTCAGGTTCAGCTGAATAAGCAGAACGAGAACTTGCTTCTACTGTAACTAGTTGTACAAGTCATTTTTGTTCTTATAACATTTGAACTGCAATTTCTCATTCAAAAAATAGCAAAAATTATCCAGGAGGTAAGAAATCAAAACACAATTAGAACTTAATACAAATCTGTTTGAGTGAACAGGGCAACATGTACACTGGTCCTTTTAACACCTAAGACTGTTTAGATATCCCCTGGAGCCAGGGAGGCATTTAGGATTTTCCAAGATACAATTGTCTAATGTAGAATGTTCTCAATAGCCCATTTCCAATAGTTTTAAAAAAAATGTATAGGGTTCTACATGAAGCATGTCACTTTGCCTGACAATAGGACATCTAGTGTCATCAAACCATTATTGTGCTAATATATCAGTAGTGACAGGGCAGGTATTATATTGTCTTAGCAATGGCTGGAAGACTCTTAAAAATGCTTTAAAACGTCATTGAGGCAAAGTGGCGTAAGAGATTGTGATGTAAAGTCATTCAAGGAATCTCAGAGCTGAGCAAGAATTGAAATCTTGGCTGTTCCAGACAAGAGTTACCATACTAGATTGTCCAGGTGGTACAGAAGCCCAGAACTGTTAATGAATAATGCTTCCAAAGTGAACTGCTGTTAACAAGGTTAATATATTGCTTTAACTTTATAGTCTGTTGTTCCTTGCAGTCCCTCTCCATGATAGATACCTGTCCTGAGCAACCCTTTGATTTCTTGCAAGAGGCAGACATTTTAATTTGTCACAATATTGCCAATGTATTGTCGCTCCAGGGCATTTTGGTAAATTAAAATGCCAGCTGCTGATCCCCCATCAGAGCACTGCTACACCATCAATTAAACCCACTCAGATCCTGTCAGGTAGGAGGAGGAGGAGGTCCAAGGGCCCAGACTTCTCATAGTTTCCTTCAAAAGCTCCAGGCTTCCCCATTTGAAAGGCAGGGCCACAAGGCATACGTAATTTCAGTTTTCACTGGAGTCCTTTTTCATAACAGAGGTTCTTTGCCCATCTTTCTTCCCTGTCTCAACTACAATCTCTCTGGCTGTTTAGATAAGAATTGTTTTCTCTGATGTTCGCCAGTGTCTCAGCCTTTTTGAAATATCTCCTGTTCCCAGTCACCCTTGAGATTGAAATGGAGAAACTTTATTGAGCTGAACCTGTCTTGCTTCTAATTCAGTACTATTTCTCAATAACTGTTCTAGCTGGGTGGCTATCATACAGCCATGCTGATTATTAAAACTGGAGAGGCACCAGCAGCCAACCCCTCACAAGAAAACTCTGATGAGATTCAGACTCAGATAACGGTTATGTGGGCATGACCTTGGGAGATAGGAGGAAGAGCTGCAGACTAGGCAATGGTCAGATAAGAGGCAGCTGAGCCCACAGCAGGAATGAGAGAATGGCAAACATCTCAGAAGGGACCATCCCTAGCTTCTTGGACTGTAAAGGCGAGGGGGGAGAGATGCACTTTCAGACTTGCAAGATTCTGTTAATGTAACCTTATAATAAAGTTAGAGCTAGGACTTCTGGGTGTGCTTCTTGTCCAGATTACCTTGCAAGACTGACAGACACTTCCTCAAAAAAATGACAATCTATTCCAGTGTTTTTCAACCCATACTGGTTGGAGAATTCTGGGAGCTGAAGTCCTTAAAGTTGCCAAGTTTGAAAAACACTGATTTAGCTTGTATTCAGGCATAAATGGATACAGGACATAGTACTAATATATTTTATTTTACCTAATAGGTCAGCCTGATTCATTTTGGATGTGACTAGTCTCACTTTCTCTGTAATGCTAGATGGTCATAGAATGATCAGAAGGATTTACATGGAGCTTCCACCAGCTTTCAGAAATGTTTTTGGGTTGGTCTACATTCAACAACAATGAAAATTCACAATTTTATTGTGAATCGTCCAAAGTTCCCCCACTGGGGGTAGATGGGCGGTTGAAAAACTTAATACATTAAATAAATAAATAAATAAATAAATAAATAAATAAATAAATAAAGGAGGTACTCCTAATCTAAGTTAACCTTTTTGTTTTTTTTTTAAAAACCATCCTTATATTATTCTACTGTCACTCAAAGTTACATATGAACTAAGAGAGCTACCTTATCCACATAGAATACTAAGCATTATGAAGACATCAGCTAATTTGTTAAAATAATTCATTGGCATGTGTTTCTCAACTGGTAATTAATTTTTAATCTCCAGATTCAAGGTCACCTTTTCTCTTCCAACCAAACAGGCATTTATCGTCCACCTTTTCACTTTTGGCAAAAAAAAAAAAGAAGGAAGGAGGGAGGAAAGGAGGGAAGGGAGGGAGGATAGGAGGGAGGGAGGGAGGGAAAAAAAAAGAAAGAATTAAGTCGAATATATACATTCCAACATTCTAACAGTACCAACATGCCGACTCAACAGACAGCTGTGATCTATTGTCTGGCATAATGGTCTCATACCTTTCCACCTCCTGATTTACAATGCAACTTGCATGTTAGTTGGCGAACAGCCAATCACAGGCTATTAAATTAGATTATTTTGAAATATCACCAAGGTTTGCCATCAAATCTTGTAAGCTTCTGAATGGTGTACTCTCCATAAGCTCAAGATGTCATAGGAGGAAGGGTGGGGGGACATCACATGAATTTTTAATGTTCTCCCAAGAGTCTGCAATTCCTAAAGATCCAAAGCAATCATCTGAAATAAAACTGAAACCATCCAATTATGCAGACTTTTCTCTCTTCCAAAGATGTCATATAACTCTGAATGGGGGGGGGGAGAGTTCAAGCTAGGTCCCACCTTATTTCTGTGCAATAAGCCCCTCCTTATTTCTCTGCAAAGAAAGGGAGACTAATTTCTGAAGGCCAATGGTTGTAGTGGGAGGGATGACGATACAAGGCTGTTTCATGGGTAGGTTTGCATATTTCCCCCCCTGAATTCTGGGGGGAGTTTTGGATTTTTAAAAAAAAACCTATGATATACATTATAGGGCTTACACAGTTTGTGTTTATTGCTTCAGGGGGATTTTTGGCACTTGCAGTCAGAAGATACTCAATGGAAACTTGTCTGTCTGGGTTTGTAAATTAGCACATGGAAGGCAGATCTCACCACTAGGAGAAGGTGGTCTTCCAGCTAAATTAAGAAAAGTCAATCTGGATTGTCTAAAGATCCATCAATTCTTGAGACTAATAGCATGTATTCTAATATACTGTGCAATGATTATTTAGTTTAAGTAATGTGTTAAGAGCAAAAGTTGGGGATAAAATCCAGATCAGAATCTAGGTGTAGTTAGATGCCAGATTATATCAGTTTGTGGGCTTCTAGAGCCAGTGTGGGATAGAAGTGAAGGTACTGGACTAGGAGTGAGAAAACCTGGAATCTAGTCCACTCTTAGCCACATAAGCCCACAGAGTGATGTTGGGCCCATAACTCTTTCTTAGCCCAGTCTTCCTCACAGAGTTGTTGATGTGGGGAAAAATAGGAAGGAATACGAAGTTTGGCTCTTGAGCTCCTGAAGGAAAGATGGAATATAAATTTAAAAATAAGCACCTCAAACTGTGTAAAACAAAGGGTCTGGCCTGTTATGAAAAAGAGACACATTATTCCAAGTATATTGTAGACACAGTGCTAAAACTGCCTTCCCCAGTTGGGCACACTCCAGATGGGCAGAGTTCATATTCCAGGATTCCCCAGCTAGTATAACCATGCTGAGAATTCTGGGGATTGAACTCCATGCTTCTGGAGGTCATTGTGGTTTGTGAAGCTGCTCTAAATGAATGTTGAGGAATCTGATGAAGAGATAACACAACTCAGCAATGGTGTGGGTCATGCCTTTAAAGAGCCTGTCTCTTTTGGCAAAAGATTCTCTCTTCAGAGAATCTT